TAACTCACATTAGTAGTTTGTTATATTGTGGTATGTATGATGGACATTATAGAAGAGATTTATTACATGCGCCACTAATGTTTATGAAATATTAATGTTATATGGTCATTGGGCCAAGTGGGAGAATGTAAGAATTATTATTAATTATTTTTTACTTATGGCTCACGTTTACTTGTAACCCAAGTAATACCATAAATAATATTTAATAAGGAATAGATCTTGTCCGTACATTGGTTACTTGATGGACGTACCAGATTAAGTCATAACCTCTATAAATTGGTCATCCCTCCACCCATTAGGGTTATCACATATTCTCTACAATAATTTCATCGCTGACAGTTATGGTAACATAAAGTTAGGGCAAGGATGTAGAAACCAATTTACGACTAACGCTTCCGCTTCTCTCTATGATGATGTCTTCCGCATCAGGTATGTGCCCCTAACAATCTCTATGTAAGATTATCGTATTCAAGATCCTGAAAGTATTTAATCTTATACTGAGAAGCCATCAGTGCCACTATCACTATCCTCATTGAGCTCAAATACCACCTCTTCTACTTCCTCCAGGATGGGCAATTTAATTATCTCCTTATTTTGATCCTTTGTAATCACCTGTAGGATGTTCTGGAGCATGGAGAAGTCATGATTAAAAACCTTTTCAGTGAATTGCTTTGAGAAAATATCAACAACTTCCTCTCCTATTTGTAGTTTGGTGGTTACAAAATCTCCCTATATATATGGTTTATCTGAGTTGGGTGGAATTTTTTCCTTCTTCCTTTGACATAGAAGTGAAAGAATTTAGTATTTCTATGTCCTTTTGAAAACCACCTCATCCCCGATTTTCTGCTTCCAATATTCTTTCTATATTAGTTGTTATTAGATGAATTTCCAATTAAGCCTCTTTAACCATTATCACATCATCCAAAGTGGCTAGTTGTTGGAAAATATTGTCGAACACCTCCTTACTCTATCTAGTCAGGGCTATGTTTACTTCTTTGAGTTTAAACTAAAATTTCATGATAGAGCTTTCCACAAAATCAGTGTTTCAATTCTCTTTCACTATTCCTTTAAATTGATGTTGTTTGGCTCAAAAGTTTAGGAATCTAAATGGTCTGACGGTAGGTTCTTCTTCAGAAGTAAATATTATATGCAATGTGCCATGATTTGACCCTTGCATAATGAGATGGTGAACCTCGCTTGAAGGGAAACTCTCTATGAAGGCTTGATTTATCAAGATTTTGTCCGGTCTTTTGAAAATATACCCGTCTTCCATCCTCCCATTCCACTGGTGTATCTGCTTTCAATCACTTTAATATATGCTAATGCACAACTATTGATGCAGAAGGCAAAGTTAGTTGCCTTATTCTAGGTAACCACAATCCCCCTAGCTAACTTCTCCTCTTAACTTAGTATCATAATTGAGATCTCCACCACCTATGGTTCTTGAACTTCTTCTGCAATATATTCCATTTCTTCCCATAATTCATGTTTTTTTTCAAGTCAAATTTTTAATGCTATTGTTGGGGTTTGATGAAAACCTACATGATTTGTGATTGTCAATTGATAAATAGTAGTCATTACCTTGAATATAGCTTACCCATTAAGAATTAACCAATTTTAGCAATTGCTAATACCCAATTTGTAGAATTATCATCCATGCTAGCACACTCTTAAGGACCCGTTTGGCCATAGATTTCCAAGTAAAGTTTGGAAATTTTTTTTGGCAAATAGTGTTTGCCCATACAATTTGTCATTATTTGGCAAATATTTTTGGCAAATAACCCAAATTCTCAATATTTGGGCCAAATTTCATTATTTGTGATTTTTTAAAAATTCAAATTCTACACCAAATTTTTATCTTTTACAAAAACACACTCTATAATAGTTGTTTGTACTATATTACATAATTTTTTACGTGAACACTAAAGTAGTAATGAAATATTCACTTGAAAGTGATGATATGATTGTTGGTGAAAATGAAGAACAATCGGCTTAGGGTAACAAAGTTAGGTGCTTTGTCTACTTCAGTTGTATGAAATGATGTTTGGTGCACTCACTCCAAACTACCACATTGCTCTAGTGTAATGGACACTACTTGTTATTTGTTGCAACGAAGATCCAATTGACTTGTAATATAAACTTATGGTTAGTTTTGATAGTTTTTAAAACTTATGAGTATAAATCATATTTTTCCTAAAAAAGTAAAATATGTTTTCCAAATACTATGACCAGACACATGTTGAAATTTCGCCTAAATTTTCGCCCAGATAATATTTGCCAAAAATATTTAAAAATCTATGGCCAAATGCTAGCTAAGAATCCCCAATTACTTGTGAACATCCCTTGTTTAAGGCTTTGCGTTCGAGAACTTGTTACAACGTATTAAGCGTTCAAATTTGTAATTGAATCGTCATCCCCCCCATAGCTTTAGCAAGAGGATTACTACCTTTGGAAGTCAATATCGATTGCAAGGAGCTCATCACTTTTATTGAAAATGATCACCCATCTTACACAAACATGTTATTTGATTGCAGGGATCTGCTGAGCCATTTGGGGAACCCCCCCCCCCCCCCCCCCCCCCCCCACCCCCCCCCCCCCCCCCCTCACACACACACCAATGAAGTTATATGCATAAATTGGATCAACGTACAAATCTCTAGTGAAATAGAATACATCATAGGGTGAATTACTATCATCCATTCCATGTGGGATCAACCCCATCTCTTCGTTGGGTTTTATATTGCATATGTTTGTATACACATCGAATTATAAGTGTGTAGTTGACTGTTATCAAATACTTACAAATCATTATACCCAGAATCCTATACACCTTGTAACTCCTCTATTACAAGACACAAAACAATAACTCTATTGGCAACTATATCAACTACTTCTAGCTAATACAGACTTCAACAACACAACTCGGCTAACTCTAGCCACAAACTCACTCAACAATAACAACAGATGAGATGATCTATGATCCTTTATATCATAGGATTAGATCTACAATATGAACAAGAATTGAAGGTGCTACAACACTCGATCAGGTCCCTTGTTACGTATGTTAGCAGTTTTTCCTTGAGAGTGGCTTTTGCTTTTTAATATTCCTGATTGCAAAAATTAGGTTTAATCTTGTCAACATGTTCTCTTTATATGAGCGACAAAAACCTAGAAGCAACGCCATTGGTCGAGGACTGTTGTCCTTTCCGTACATCTGCTACGGTGGCCACCAACTACTGCAGACCTGCCCTCTGCTAGATCCCTCTGCGGACCAGGTCCCGTTGCACCATAGTTTCTTAATTCATCAAAACAAAGAATACCACAGGTGTGCAATGAAATAATCGAAGCTTTTGTGACATACATTTTCTTCAAAAAAATATTATAAGATTTAAAGGTAGGAAAATATCAATCTATCTGGTAGGTGCTGCTGATTCGAATTTTATGGTAGATGTTGTAATCATTTGAAATAATATGCATAAAGGTATGACTAAACATTGGTATGATATCTAATAACTGATGGACTAAACCATTTATCTTCTTATCTTTCGAAATATATAGATAGACAGAAATTATAAAGTTAAAGAGTCTAAAATTAGCAAGCTATGATTTATGAAATGGAGTATTTTTGTCAACATTTAAGTATGATCAGTCAGGGGGAGATGTTTTGCAGTAGAGCTGCATGAGATTTTTAGTGCAATTTTCCAAGTTATGTAGCTCTCAACACTGGTCGAACCCATCTCGTTTCAACCTATATACATTAATTGTCATCTATAAATTAATGAGACAGAGTAGCTAGCCGTAACAAATATTCTTTCAAATAATTGTAACTTTCTCTGCAAAGTTACAAGTCTAGAGGTCGGATCAGATTGTTGATTACAATAGATGTTCGTTCAAGTTGATTCATATCCTAGAACTGCAAAAATTGTTCTGCATGCTTTATTTCCACGTACGTCCATATCTCTGAATGTCATAATATACTTATTTTTACAAGTGGGATACCTAAGCATTTTTACAACTCTTGATGCATGCATTACTCTGTCTTCTGTTCTGCACTTCTTTCTGAAATTTCCAGTTTCTGATATGAGAATAATCCTCTAAATAAATGAAATAACCTGTATTGGCAGTTGCCAACACCACACCCATTATTCTCGTCCTCCGAACTGTTGTCTTCATCATCTTGGTGATCATTAATATACTCTTTTTCACCTTTCAGCTCTTCCTCATCAAAGTCATTCGATCTGCAGATTAAGTAGTGTTCCAACAATATTATTAGCTCAAATGCAAATCTAGAGGAAAAACAATAGTTGAATTTATGAAAAACAACTATATATATCCACGTAAAATGATGAGGATGAAATCAATATTATACAACTTACACTTTATGATGATCAAACTGATGCTCCTCTCCTTCTGATTGTGTCATTTTTGGATTGTAACCAACCGATACATGTCTCACAAAACTAAGCTGCAAAATCAACAAAAACAATTATCAATGTTAGGGTATCAAAGAAATACTCAAATAATTTCAGTTACAGCTAGCACATAAGAAAATAATAATACATTTGCATATATAAGTGCACATCAATAATGTGGTATGCAGAAAATCAACTCGAAGCTGTATGCTAATCGAGGGTTATAACAATACAGGTTCTCAGACAAAGGATTATAAATATATCTAACATATCCAAGTCAAACATAACTATCTCCAGGATTATAATTGCATATGATCAACTCCATGTTTCAGATTTACTATCTTGAAAGATTAGGAGATCAAAGATCCTTTTCGACCATGAAAAAAGGAAACTAATCAACCAGATGGACAGTGAATAAAATTATAGCTATGAAACGTGAAGATATCATAAAACCTAAAGATACTCCAGGATTCAACAATTTGAACTTTTTTTCACTCTGACCCTATATCATCCCCTTTTCCGGAATGCAGTTTCCAATATAATTACAACAAGCATACAACTATTAAATCATATAAGATAATATGAATGTTATTTTTTTATGAAAACATCCAATGGAAGAGAATAAACCTCATCGCCATCCTTGATCCCGTAGGTTCCTATTAAATCATCATCTGAAAGTAGCTTCTGTCCGCCATAGCTCAGACAAAAATGCCCCCATACATGTAACCTGCAATAGCAAAAGTTTCAAATTAGGGTGATCTAACGCTAGCACTCGCTGCTTTTAATGACATTTAAAATTCATTAATGTCATGAATATCGAATGACGGGGAAAAATAAAATTCACAATATCCCATAAAATTTTCTTTTTATTCTACCAAATTGTTTCATTAATTCTCATAGCTAGCTAGGTGAACAAAAGAAGATATGGATTGACAATATACATATATAGTACATACCATGAAATCTTGCAATGGCTGAAGGCCTCTACCACGGCCCGTTTGAGATCTTCCACGTTACCATTTCTAGGCACTTCAATATCTACAATTAAATCTCAAAATTCATCAACTAATAAAAACCCATACACATGAATATAATATAATAGAAATGTACGTATAATTAATTACCGAAAGAAGAGCCATCCAATTTGAGGATGGAAAGCTTAAGGGGTTCCTCAGGTAACTTATCATACAAGAATGGTGCTGCTACACAAATAAATGATCCATTCCTTTGTAATGAAGCATTCGGGCTAACATCTTCGTCCTCCATTATGTCTGAGGTCTGCACGACTAATATTAGTATGCAAACCTTCAATTAATCTTCTTCTTATTTCTGACTTGTACATTGATTCATTAACACCATTTTTGGTCCCTTTCCCATTCTATTTCAAAGGGGTTTGCTTTGGTTTATTGTTAAAGAATTAGATTTAGAATCTCTTTTGATTGGAGGACATTCTTTAAACACAAAGAATGAGATAGATAGAGAGAGAGAGAGGGGAAATTTGTTTAGAATTTGATGATCAGAAAAAAAAATTTGGACGTCAACCAGATTTTTCTCTTTTTTCTTTCACTACTAATTTTGGACACGTACGTTGTTGCCTCGTGGATCCCTAAGTAGAGAGCTTTATTAATTAACTGTAGAAGAGGTCAAAATTAATAAAATACACCTTTTACATTTTATATTATACATAATTTTGCCTACAGCAAAGTTAAAAAATATTGATTAGTTTATTTAGCTTGGATAAAGATAATACTCATACATATATTCACCATCAGAGGTTTAAGATGTTAATGATTAAAAAAGAAAATACAAGTGTCTCTTAGTAAACAAAATCCCAATAAAATTAGTCACTATAATGAAACAGTAACTCAGTATTATCAAATGAAAATTATGAAGGTACATATATAGAAAATAATTGATAGGTTCGGATTTGATATTTATGACAGAAAGAACTTGTTATACGTTCGCAATTGATTCACTTATCTAAATCTTCAGTCATTTCTCCTGCATGAAAAGAATACAAATAACTTTAAAAGTTGAAACCATTTGAACTCCCCGTTTCCGAAGTTGCTAAGCACAAAGTTTATGTCATCCGGGAAAAATGTTAACAGTTTTATCCTCATTTTCTTATTTTATTTGATTTTTTTTCTCGCAAAGAAAAGTCAAAACATTATCATATTTGGTTATTCTTTTCTTAGAGGAAAAGTTTAAAACTCTATAAATTGAAGATTCATCTTCTTATACTGTTAAACCAAGGAAGCAAGCTGATGTAACCACACTTGAGTTAGGCTTAACTAAGTTTGTTAGAAAGCAGTTAAAAGTTAGTTATGCAGTTAAATTAACTGCTAAGAGAATCTTCTAGATGAGCTACTGTAAAGTGTGTGTATAAATAGTCCATATCATGTAACTTGTACGCTAAGATGAATTCAATGAGAATTTAGATTTCTTCAGATTCTTCTTCCCTTTACACTTGTCTTCTTCCTCTGTTTGAGAACTTAGGAATTCTTCATCTATGAAAGTTAACATGGTATCAGAGCCTCGATCAGAGAGTGCAGCAGTCTAGATTAGTCTCATATTCAAGTTCATAAGAAGATCGAGATCATGGAAATGGAAGGTACAGTTCCTACAACAAATACATCAATTCCAGGAAGATCTGTGATTGATCACACACATCCTCTGTACCTACAACCTAATGATACTCCATGTAGCTCACTTATCTCAATTCAACTTACTGGATCTGAGAAATATGCACTTTGGAGTAGATCTATGAGATTAGGATTGTTAGGAAAAAAGCAAATTAGGATTTGTGGATGGCAGACACACTAGACATAAGTTTGAAACATCACTGCATGATCAGTGGGAGAAGGTGAATGCAATGGTTTTGTCATGGATTATGAATGCTATAAAATCTGAGCTATTAAGCAGTATCATCTATGCATCAAATGCTCATAAGGTTTGGCTAGATTTGCAGGAGAGATTTGATACTGTGAATGGTTCGAGAGTTTTCTATCTCCATAGAGAGATTGCTACACTCACACAAGGCAATCAATCTGTTTCTGACTATTACTCTCAGATGAGAAACCTATGGGATGAGTTTGATGCACTCATGCCATGTCCTGGGTGCAATTGTCCTGAGTCTCGCAATTGTGCTCAACATTATGGATATCAAAGGCTACTACAGTTTCTCATGGGCCTTAATGAGATATATGCCCAATGTAGAAGTCAAATCCTGATGTTAACACCTCTTCCAACACTGAACAAGGCCTACTCATTGGTGATAAATCACGAAAGTCAAAGAACTATTGCCATGACCTCTTCAGTAAGTAAGGTCTCTGAGTTGTTGGAAGGTGCTGCCTTCTTTAGTCACAAGGGAAGTCAGTCTAGCTATAATGGAGGAGGTATCAACTCTAGTAGGACATTCTCAGGAGGAGGTTCTAATTCAGGAGGTAATCACAATGGTAGAGTGTCCTCAGTAGGTGTAGTCAGACCTCAAAAGAAGGGATCAATAATATGTGAGTTTTGCAACTACAATGGGCACACTAAGGAGCAGTGTTACAAGCTTATTGGATATCCTTCTGATTGGCCTAAGAACAGGAAAAAAGGATCATCTCAGTTTGCAAATCAAGTAGGAAACTATGTCTCCTCTGATTCCGAGTTAGAGAACTCAAGCTCTGATAGAACAAATCAGGGCAAGTCAGGAACTGCATCACAAACACCTCCTCTTCCCTCCTTCACTCCAGAGCAGTACCAGCATATACTTCATTTGTTGAACAAAGGGAATGATGATTCACCTCCTACTCTTCAAACTGCAAATGCAGGTACTCAAAGTTCTACTTCAACCAATAATGTAAATATTAGTTGGATAGTAGACACATGAGCTTCCAATCATATGACATCTAATCCTGAGGTGTTACATACATGTCATAAAATTGCACAACATTAGGACAATAAGGTTCATCTTCCTACTGGACAGGCAGTACCAGTAGCTTATACAGGGAGTTCAAAAATATTCAATGATAGTCCTATCTCCAATGTCCTACAACTACCAGATTTTAAATTTAACCTGTTGTCAGTCTCAAGGTTAACCAGGGAATTACACTGTTCTGTAGCATTTTTTCCTGACTTTTGCATATTTCAGGATCTCTCCAATGGAATGGTGAAGGGGATTGGTAGAGAAGAACATGGTCTGTACATCTTAAAGGGCAAGTCTGTGAAGTCAGCTATATGTGGTCTCACAACTAGATGTGTCAATACTTCTAATAACTCTCTTGAGTCCAGCACTCTTTGGCACAGAAGGCTGGGTCATGCTCCTTTGGATGCCATCAGAAAGCAGGAACATCTTAAACATTCACATCATTCACATCATATGTGTATTGTATGCCCTTTGGCAAAACATACTAAGCTTCTTTTTCCTATTAGTAGTACCTATTCTAAGTCTGTTTTTGAGTTGTTGCATTGAGATATTTGGGGTCCCTATAGAATTCCTACTCATGATAGAAAAAGATATTTTGTTACCTTAGTAGATGATCACACTAGGTTCACCTGGTTGTTTCTAATTCAGTTCAAGTCTGAAGTCATTGTTGTACTGAGAAATTTCCTTACTAGAATAAAGAATTTGTTTTCAACTTCTGTGAAAATACTAAGAACTGATAATGGATGTGAATTCTTTAGTACTGAATTTCAGTCTTTTATGTCTGATCTTGGCATTTTGCATCAGAGTTCCTGTGTCTACACCCCACAACAAAATGGGGTGGTAGAAAGAAAACACAGAACCATCCTAGGTGTAGCAAGGTCCCTTAGGTTCCAAGCTGGTTTACCCTTAAAGTTTTGGGGTGAGTGTATTATGACTGTTGTGTACATTATCAATAGACTTCCTTCCAAGCTGTTAAAATCCAAAACTCCTTTTGAACTTTTGTATGGTCATCCTCCTTCTCTGTCTCATCTTAGAGTTCTTGGATGTCTGACTTATGCCTCACCTACACCATCATCTGATAAATTCAAGGTTAGAGCTGTTCCAGGGGTGTTCATGGGTTACTCCTATACTAAAAAATGATATAAAATCTATGATCTTCATTCCAAATCCTTTTATGTTAGCAGAAATGTAGTGTTTCAGGAGTCAGTTTTTCCTTTCATTCATGCAAAATCTTCTGGCTCTCCTCTTTTTCCTATTCTTGATTTGTCCAGCTTTGAGTCAGCTACTCCTATCCAGTCTACTACTCTCCATGTTACTGAACCTATTATTCCTTCTCCAAATCTCCAGTCCTCCTCCCCACTTCCTCAAACCTCATCACCATCTCATGTTGCTCTCAGAAAATCCACCAGAGTTAGACATCCTCCTACATGGATGACTGATTTTGTTGTCTCTTTTTCTACTGCAAACTAGTGTGCTTACCCCATTTCCTCCTCTGTCACATATTCACATCTATCCAAGTCCTATCTACATGTCCTGTCTGCTTACTCCTCTATTACATAACCTGTCTCCTTTCAACAGGCTTCCAAAGATCCAGCCTGGGTTCATGCTATGAAATTGGAAGTTGCAGCTTTAGAATCCAATCACACATGGTCTATTGTAGATCTCCCAGGTGGTAAAACTCCTATTGGCTGCAGGTGGATATATAAAGTTAAGTACAAAGCTTCTGGGGAAGTGGAAATATATAAGGCTAGGCTGGTGGCCAAGGGCTATAGTCAATAGGCTAGGTTGGATTACTTTGAGACTTTGTCTCCAGTTGCCAAAATGGTGACTGACAGATCTCTTATTGCTCTTGCAGCCTCAAATATGTGGTGTATCTACCAGATGGATGTACATAATGCCTTTTTGAATGGTGACTTGCTAGAAGAAGTATATATGACTATTCCTTAAGGGTTTGCTAGACAGGGTGAGTCTCACAAGGTCTGCAAACTTCATAAGTCATTAAATGGGCTGAAGCAGGCTCCAAGGCAATGGAACAAAAGAATGACTGATGCTCTTGTTCAGATGAGAATTAGACAAAGTCATTATGATTACTCTTTGTTCATCAAGAGGTCAGGAGAAGAGTTGGTGGTTATCCTGGTATAAGTAGATGATCTATTAGTAACTGGAAACAGTTAGACCTTGATAAACAAAGCAAGAGAAGATTTACAGCACAACTTTAAGATGAAAGATCTTGGAGAACATAAGTTCTTTTTGGGAATTGAAGTAGCTAGATCAAGTGAGGGAATTGTGATGTGCCAGAAAAAATATGCATTAGAGTTGGTGGCTGAAACTGGAATGAGTGGAGCAAAACCAGCAAGTACACCAATTGAGATCAATCAAAAGCTAACTTCTATAGAATATGATAAACATGTACCAGGTAAAACTGGAGTGAGTGATGAGGCACTGGAAAATCCTGCAACATATCAAAGACTAGTGGGAAGGCTTCTGTATTTGACTATGACCAGACCTGACATTGCCTTTGTAGCACAGGTCTTGAGTCAATAAATGCATTGTCCAAAAAAATCTCACATGGAAGCCGCTCTAAGAGTAGTGAGATACATCAAAGGTACACCAGAAATGGGATTGTTGATGCCTGCTGGAACTACAAATCAACTCATGACCTATTGTGATTCAGACTGGGGAGCATGCATGGAAACTAGAAGATCTGTCACAGGGTATCTAGTTAAACTTGGTGGAGCAGTGATTTCCTGGAAATTCAAGAAGCAAGAAATTGTGTCTAGAAGCTCAGCTGAAGCTGAGTTCAGAAGTATGGCAGCCTGCACTACAGAACTTACCTGGTTGGTAGGACTTTTCAATGAACTAGGAGTTCAAGTTCAACAACCTATAACCTTAAGGTGTGACAGCAAGGCATCTATTCAAATAGCTGCAAACCCCATATTTCATGAGAGAACTAAACATATTGACATTGATTGTCACTTTATAAGAGAAATGATAAGCCAAGGGATGATTAAAACTGATCATGTGTCTACTGAAGAACAACTGGCAGATGTACTCACTAAAGGACTAGGAAGAGCTCAACATGAATACTTGCTAAGGAAGCTAGGCCTAAAAGATATATTCAAGCCATCAGCTTGAGGGGAGTGTTAAACCAAGGAAGCAAGCTGATGTAACCACACTTGAGTTAGGCTTAACTAAGTTTGTTAGAAAGCAGTTAAAAGTTAGTTATGCAGTTAAACTAACTGCTAAGAAAATCTTCTAGATGAGCTACTGTAAAGTGTGTGTATAAATAGTCCATATCATGTAACTTGTACGCGCGCTAAGATGAATTCAATGAGAATTTAGATTTCTTCAGATTCTTCTTCCCTTTACACTTGTCTTCTTCCTCTGTTTGAGAACTTAGGAATTCTTCATCTATGAAAGTTAACATATACCAAACAACAATGCATCCACAGTGTAGATATTTAAGAATTTTGTTTATGCGGAGAGTTTTTTATTTTATTTATCACTATCTCAATTCACAATTGTAAGCTTCCGCATGACACTGATTCCTTTCGAACCCAACAAAAAAGTCAGACATTTATCATATATAGATTTAGAAAACATATACATGAGTTGAATTGAGGATTGAGAGTTGAGTGCTCTTTGTAGAATTTCCACTCTTCATTCATCAGCGGCTAGCGGAACCATTTCTTTGAATGAGACCATAGTATTCCAACTATTTTTTTACCTATAAATAGCAGAAATTTAATATTCAAATGAACTAAAAATAAAATTAATAATCTTGACTTACGATAAACATAGTAGTCTTCAAGGTTCAATGATAAAGAAGTTTCTCATATTCTGCAACTCTGTGATTTTTTCCTTTCAATTTCTCATTAATTAAACAAATATGTTTCAACTTCTATGTTAACTTTCACGGAAGACAAACAATCGGTTGTAGATGAGGAGGGATTTGAGTGAGTAAGATATTTAAGAGGTGTAATTATAAAAATTAAGAGAAAGTATATGAAAATTATTATGATTAATGATAAGCGTAAATTATAATTAAGTGTAAAATTATCCATTTATTTCATAAAATGAACAAATATTATTGGATATTCTAAAATAGTATAGTGAATAAATATTTTGGACAAAGAAAGTACATAGTAGTGATGTGGAGGAGTATATAAGAGAGGGGGAAGCACATGGGAAAGGGAAGAAGCTCCTCTCCGGTACATAATCTCTCCAGTTGATTCAGTGCATATTTAATTTAATGATATTTGTCAATTTTAAAATTTAATGATTCATATTTATTTAAATAAAGCAATCTTTAAACCATGATTAACTAAAAGTCTTAACTCAGGTTAATTTATTCTCTCTCTTCCCACTTCTCTCCCATGGAGTATCAAACAATTCCCCATCTTTGTTGCAGACGAACCAGTTACACTCTCAAATTTCTAAGATCTGCCAAACCACCCAGCCATGATGCAACGGCATTTCTCTTACTTTGGGGCAAGGTTAAGCGGAAATAGTGATAGCAGAAATTGGTGTCTTCTTGTTCATAGTTGTATTAGCCAAAATTAAATCGGGAGAAATACAACATCTTCAAAATTGTGCGGACTTTTAATTTCATTAATCTGGAAATATCATAGATTAAAAAGTTAGGGACTTGTAGTACTTGAAAGTTGAAACATCTATATACCTGTAAATTGGGAAATAAGAAATTTGGTTGATACACTTTGGGATGAAGAATTTGAGATTCATGATGATATATTTTTTTTTTGGGATTTTGCTTTTTCAGTTGCTCTTTCCATGCCTATGGAATTTATTTGAGACTGGTTTATTTTCCATTTTTTCCTTCATATGCACTTGTAAATTAAGCTTTGCCTTTTACGATGTCACTTTTGTAAAACAATAGAAAATATACTTCTCCAAGTATTATTGAAATTATAATTGATTCAAAAATCACTCTATTTTTATCGATTCGAGAGAAAGCAGAGAGGGTTATATGACAGAGCGAGAGAGATAACTAATAGGTTGAACTATCATGGTATTTTGCTGTTTGGAAGAGAAGTGGGAAGAGAGAGAATAAATTAACCTGAGTTAAGACTTTTAGTTAATCATGATTTAAAAGCTGCTTCATTTAAATAAATATGGATCATTAGATTTTAAAATTGACAGATGTCATTAAATTAAATATACACTGAACCAACTGAAGAGATTATGTACGGGAAAGGAGCCTCTTCCATGGGAAAGAGGATGAAATTTGACTATTGACTTCTCAATTTGTTTGGTGATTGAGATTTCAACACATCATTCCAACTAATAGGAATTTAACAAGTCACTATGAGTTGTGACCATTCTTCATTCATTTTGCTAAAACTGAATAATGTAAGAATATGGTAAAGATATTAATTACTCCTTCCGTCCAATAATAGTTATCCATTATATTATAAATAATTATCTAACAATACTTGTCTAATTTAGAAAATCAAGAAATACTTTACCTTTGATGTCTATTTTACTCTTACTATTAAAAAAAGAAAAGTGAACAAGTAATTAGGGACAAATGAAATATTGTTGGACAGATGAAGTAACAATTTGATCAAATAAAGAAATACACCATATTAAGATATCATTAATGTCTTTGATGACTTTTTATAAGTCAAAAGAGAGGGGGATTGTCCTAGGATTATAGTCCCCCCCCTCCCATAAAGAAAGTATTTTCTATTGTCACTTTATGCGATACAGATTTTGAGAGTAAAAAAAAATTAATTTTAAACGTGAATGTGAAAAAAACAAGTTTCAAAAAAATAAAATAAAAAATGTAAGTATTTGAAGTCATAATAGTTGACAACTTAAATTATTAAAAAGATATTTAAAAAATTTATGATTAAAAGAAATCTTTAAAATTTCAAAATTCAAAATATTTCACATAAAATTGAAATGGATGGAATAGTTTTATGGTTTGTGCCCTTGATTCTACTTTAGTTGACATTATTTTCTTATTAATTCGTTAAGAAAAAAAAAGACACATTCTTATATTTTATTTATGAGAGATTTTTACTGCCACAAAAATGTTACTTTAACATATCTAAAACTATATATGTCAAGAACTTTATAATCATAGAAATGTGATGTTATATTTAAGACAAGTTTCAAATTTTTTTCTTATAAAATTTTGTATCAAGTCAAGTTTATTAGGTTAAATCTATGATTTATTGTATGTTTTTTTAGAGCGTGTCATATTACTTTTGAAGGTCGTTTTGTTCGAACACAAATTATGTTAAAATTAGTTAGTCTTGTATTATTTATTACTAACTCTTTGGTTTGTTGTATAAAAAAATAATATACATTGCATAATTTTTTTTAAAAAAAATTGTTTATTTGTAAACTTATCCCTCACTTTAGTATAAAAAGGAATTGAGAAACCTCATGGATACTTTTTTTGACGTTTTCATTATTTTATTTTATTATTCCACCCTCTATCTTGATATAACTTATTCTAAAATTAGTATCCAAACAAGGAATTATTATTTTAATCATATTACTAAAAACACAGAGTATAGAACTTTGGGGTAATAAATGAAATTTCATGACTCTATCCTTGAATTCTCTATTGTAGAATCATTAAGCTTGATGATTTTATTCTTCATGATCAAAGATCTTATTGAATTTTCTGCCTAGACTAGATTCCTTGAGAGTTTTGTCATTAAAAGTGGTTATTACATTAATGAACTACCTTATTCCATTGGTGATTTGACGTATTTGATGTCCCTTGACTTATTTAGAATTTCGATGACGGTACGTAACTCACAAGTTCTGAGAAGGCATATTTGCCATCTTTGAAATTGAATGGGGCGAGTCTTTGGAGACTTCAGTTTCATATATATTGCTACAGGAAAGTAGTGGTATCGAACGTATCAAGATTTCTAATTGGCTGAAATTCATCTTAATTCACTTTGGGCCAGCAAATTTTATATTTATCCAAAACTAAAAATGTAAAAATAAAATAAAAAAGTAAATGTAAAAAAATTGTATTATTTTTGGTCCCAAAAAGAGAGTCTAGCGTGGCTTGAATTATGGTTGGACTTTTGTCACATTAAAGAAATTCAATTTATATTTTAATCATCCACTATATGCACGATTATGAATTCGTCTTACATTTTATTAAAAAAATTATTTTTAATGAGTCAAGAATGAATAAATAGAGATTGTCGAAAATAATAATAATAATATTGTTGTTGTTGTTCTTGTATATTTAAAGATTAAATTAGATATGTTTAAATCTATTTTGTAACATTTGAAATGATAAATTTATGAAATACAAAGAATTCAACCGTGGTTTCTATGTTTAAGTTAATGTAAAAAATTATAAAAAAGCTGATATATTTAAAAATCCAAATACTTTCTTTTATTACAATATTTATTAACTTTGTCCTAAATTTGTTAAGTGATTTTTCAATAGCCCCCACTTGACTTAAGCATATTGCAAACTAGCTACCCTTATTTTATTCTATTTTTTATTCATTTATTATTATTATTATATTATTATTATTATTATT